TGCTCAAGGGGTCCATCTGGGGAGAGAATTCATTGTCTTGGGGACCTTTGTCTCATGTTAGGTCCCCAGAACTATCAGATTCTTGGGCGTCTGCATTTGCCTCATCTCGGGGCTTTGACAAAACTCTGTGAGTGGGGCCAGTGCTATGGTGTAGTGGGCTAAGTCTCCTGCAGCACCAGCAGCCCATATGGGTGCCGGTTTGAATCCCAGCTGCTCCACTTCTCATCCAGCTCCCTGCTAATGTGCCTGGGAATACAGCAGAAGATGGCCCAAGTGCTTGAGCCCCTGCACCCAACTGAGAGACCTGGAAGAATCTCTTGGTTCCTGGCTTTTGTCTGGCCCAGCCCTGACTGTTGGGGCCATTTGGGGAGTGAACCAGCAGATGGAAGACCTTCATCTCTCTCTCTCTCTCTCTCTGACACTGCCTTTCAAATAAATTTTATGTATTTAGAAGAGCCCAGGAAAGTCCCTTAAGTTTTGGGCCTCTGCTCTCTGCCTGTGTCACACCTGGAAAGAAGGCTTTGAGGAGGAGGGGGTGAGCAGGGGAGGGGCGGGCCAGGTGTGTGCTGAGCCGTTCTGCAGCCTCCAACCAGAGAGGCAGGCTGTGCCTCCGTTCAGGGCTGCTGTGTTTCTACAACAAGAACAAGCCCTTTGTGAACAGCTAGGAGTGAGAGGCAGATCTCGTCAGGATTTTGCAGAGGGAATCCATTTTCTTTCTTTCTTTCTTTCTTTCTTTCTTTCTTTCTTTCTTTCTTTCTTTCTTTCTTTCTTTCTTTCTTTCTTTCTTTTTTTTTCAGGCAGAGTGGATAGTGAGACAGAGAGAAAGGTCTTCCTTTGCCATTGGTTCACCCTCCAATGGCCGCCGCGGCCGGCACATCGCGCTGATCCGGAGCCAGGAGCCAGGTGCTTTTTTTTCCTGGTCTCCCATGGGGTGCAGGGCCCAGGGACTTGGGCCATCCTCCACTGCACTCCTGGGCCACAGCAGAGAGCTGGCCTGGAAGAGGGGCAACCGGGACAGAATCTGGTGCCCCGACCAGTACTAGAACCCGGTCTGCTGGCGCCGCAAGGTGGAGGATTAGCCTAGTGAGCCACTGTGCCGGCCAAAGTGGATCCATTTTCATCTTGAAGATGGTAAAAGGCAAAAAGACAAGATAATGTCAAAATGCTGCTTACTGTTCTGAGAAAACGAAAGAGAAACTTACACTGAGAGCATCATTGTGTGTGCATATGAGCATTTGTGTGTATGTGTGTGAGTATGTATATGTGTGGAAACATGAGTGCATGTGTGTGCACATACATGAATGCGTAGGATTGTGCACGTGTATGTGTGCACGTGCGTTCTGCAGCTGAGGGAAAAATATATGAATTAAGGAGGAGTGGCCAGGGCCCCAGAGCCCTACTGTGAACTGTCAGCCAAGGGAGCAGTGGGAATTTTGGAAATGCCATGTGTTTTCTTTTTTTTGAGAAAATTTATTTTTTTGACAGGCAGAGTGGACAGTGAGAAAGAGAGACAGAGAGAAAGGTCTTCCTTTGCCGTTGGTTCACCTTCCAATGGCCGCTGCGGCCGGTGCACTGCACCGATCCGAAGGCAGGAGCCAGGTGCTTCTCCTCGTCTCCCATGGGGTGCAGGGCCCAAGCACTTGGGCCATCCTCCACTGCACTCCCTGGCCACAGCAGAGAGCTGGCCTGGAAGCGGGGCAACCAGGACAGAATCCGGCGCCCCGACCGGGACTAGAACCTGGTGTGCCGGTGCTGCAGGCGGAAGATTAGCCTATTGAGCCGCGGCGCTGGCCAAAATGCCGTGTGTTTTCATGGAAAGGGTAGATAATACAGTACAACTAGGGATTACTGGTCTGCAGCATTGCGCACCACACGGTTCAGGGCCAGGTGGGCCGCTTTGGGTGTTCTTCAAGGACTTAGCTGCTGGCCTCCGTGCAGTGTCCGGCCTTTGGTGTAGACCATCGGCGAGCTGACCCCTGGACCAGGTGCAGGAGCCTGTGTGAGGTTGGAGGACGTGGGGGTGAGCCAAGTGTCTGCCCGAGAAAGAATTTTTTTTCCTTGATGACTTATGGTCATGATCACTATTAGTAGGTAGCTGCTGTTTAAAATGAAATGTGTTCTTGCTTAATTTTAGAGCAAACAGCAAGACAAATAAATTAGAAGTGAAATTAGCATATTGACTGGCGGGGTGAAATACGCCCAGCGTTTGCGGCTCCAGCAGTAAATAACTTGAGATCCTGCTGTCGCCGTCGCCTCCTCTCCCGGGAGCGATGCTGGGCTCTCTGATGCTCTTCTCATCCGTCCTTCGAATGGGTCAAACGGGGCAGGGTGTCCCTCCAAGGTCAGGATCCAAGTGTGCATCGCCATGCATGCCTCGTTCAGCCATGACTCAAGCAGGGACAGGAGGAGCCCAGAGCCCTGCCCGGCAGAGTTCTGTTGCCATGGGACAGGCAGGGTTCTGCGTGTGAGGCCGTGTCCGACCCTAGTGCAGTGGCGTGTGTGCACGTGTCCCTGTGTCCTGCCTTCCTCAAGGTCATTCTCCTGGCACCGGAGCCCCGCTGCGGTGACGCTGGTTGGAGAACTGTGTCACCAGCAGCAGCACGGCCAGGATGCGGAGCGGTTCTGTAGCACTGTGACGTCACCCTTCGCAGAGTCCGCAAGTAGCCACGTCCTGGCCGTGCCCAGCCTGTCCTGGCTGCTCAGGCGCTTGTGAATGCCGAGGGCCTGGGTGCTGGGAGGGGGTAGCAGGAGGCCTAGCGGGCGCCCCAGGGCCGAGCCTCTGTCTGGACTGCAGTGAGGGGTCTCGAGGGTCGGCGGTGGGAGAGCCCCAAGGTCGCTTTGCCTGGCCCTGCCTCCAGTGCTCACGACGCTGAGACAGTAGGGCCTGGGGGGCTTTCTCAGACCCCTGATGCTGTGGGGGAATGGCCTGGCATTTGGGCTTCCAACTCCCCAGTGCCGGTGCTGCTGTGCCAGGTGTCCCCTGGGAAAGTTCACTGCCGATTGCCTTCCCGGCTGCTTTGCCATTTGCACACCACGCTGCCCGGCTCAGGTGCTCGACGGACGGAGGGAGGAACGCCTGGGGGGCTTTCAGACAGCCAGACTCTGCTTAGCTCGCCTGGTCCTGAGTGCCTGCTCGCAGTGGGCAGTTTGCCCGGGGCAGTGTGGGGCAGTGTAGGCCAAGGAGCCGGCTCACCTTGGTTTCCCCGGGATGCCACTTAGGAGATACAGACCCTGAGCCATAGCCCCTCCCAGCCTGCCACGATAAGCTGCTGCTTTCTCCTTTGGGGAGGTGATAAAGCTGTCACTTGCTTGGTGAATTCATGGTAATTCTGTATATATTTAGTTCTGCAATGATACTCATGCTTTTTAAGGTTAGTTTATTTATTTGAAAGTCAGAGTTACAGAGAGATCTTCCACCTGCTGGTTCATTCCCCAACTGCCTGCAACAGCCAGAGCAGGGCCAGGCCAAAGCCAGGAGCTCCTTCCAGGTCCTCCTTGTGGGTGGCAGGGGCCCATGGACTTGAGCCATCCTCTGCTGCTTTCCCAGGCGCATTAGCAGGGAGCTGGATCGGAAGTGGAGCAGCCGGGACTCGAGGGGGCACCCGTACAGGATGCCAGTGTTGCAGGTGACGGCTTTGCCCACTACGCCACAACACTGGTCCCAGTGATACTCATTTTTGCTTGCTGTGCAGATGGTGTCTTGTGCCTCACTCAACTCGTTTTTGTGTCGTGTAATTGCATACTGTAGCTCTGAGGATTTTACGCCAACGTCCTGGTGGGGAGTTAACAACTGGGAGCTCTAAGGCACCTCTGAGAGAGATTGCCTTTGTAACTCAATGTCAGTTCCTTTTCTTCATCCATTGACTCCGGGGCACCTGCTGGCTACCAGACACGTGGGCAGCCGCAGTAGAAATGGTAGAGGTTAGCAGGTGACATCTCTGTGGTTCCTGCTTGGCGGTGCTCTTGGCCAGGAGAGGAAGATGTGGAGGAGTCCTGTGATGGGTGTCTCACCTGGGCAGTCACGGGAGATTTCGTGGTGGACTCCCGGGTGGGATGCAGTGGCTGGACGGGACTTTGCCAGTTGGAGAAATGGGAGTGAAGACCTTTAATGCCTCGGCAGGAGTGGGTTCTTGGTGTTGGTGGAAGGCATGGGGAGCTCAGCGTGCACGCGGCTCCTGTTGGCTTCTGCCCCTTGGCTGTGCCTCCGGGGGCCCCAGCTTCCGGTGGCGTCTGCTGCTCTGGCTGCTGTTGGCCCCCTGCACCCTCTCTGTTTTCTTGAAGCCCTTTCTGGGTCTGCGGGACACACAGCTGACCGCCAGCCTTCCCCACCTGCCCTGGCCTCAATGCCATGGGCGAGTGAGTTTGCATTGGCCCCACCTTCCCGGCTCACATGGAGGTTTCCACGGCTCTTTCTAGGTGTGGACAGAGGCCCCGCAGCCAGGAGCCGCCTCTCCTCCCGCGTCCCCCCCCCCCCCCGAGGGCGGAGGCCCCGCCTCTCTCCTTCCTATCTCTTCCCCCTCGCTCCTCCGTTCTCCTTTCATTTCCCCTCCACCATTGCTTCCTCTGTTCATTCTTCCTCTCGTCTGTGCAGCTCCAGGTGTGCATGCGTGTGAATTAGGCACACCATGCTCAAGAGAAGGACCAAAGGTCCTGGCCCGTTTCTGATGTGGACGGCGCTGACCTTAAGCTCGGCCAAGCATCCCCTGGGAGTGGCACAGTTAGCGGAGAGGAGTAAGCTCAGGAGGGTGTCTGTCTGCGTGGATCTCCATGCCCATGTGTGCCTGCGAGACACGGGGCACCCGGAGCAGCTTCCTGCTGGAGACATCGGCCCAGGGCATGCAGGGGCCTATGGTTCTGGCTGCAGGATAGTCAGGCCTGTCTCAGAGATGCCAGATCAGAGTGGCCCCTGCCTGGCTGTGAGACTCTGCAGCTGCAGGTGCCTGGGTCGCCCCTTGTTCCTCCTCTCACCGACTCTGCTGTCTTTTGTTTCTCTTGCCCAGGCTGCCTGTTCGAGGATGGCCTTTGCGGACCGACGGAGGCCTGCGTAAATGGTAAGTGTGACGTCCCGGATGTGTGCAGCTGGGGTTCGGGGTCTGCCTCTCTTTAGGACGGGCTCCGGCTGTGTAGACCCAGGGGCCTCCAGCCCCGCCAGGTGCGGTGTGTCTTGTCTGGGGCTCCTGGGGAGAACCGCGGCACTGGGGCTCCTCTGGATGCCGCATCAGTGGCGGGGGAGGGGACGTGGATCCTGCTGTTTGTATGCGGTTTCACGGATGCGTGTCTTTGCCTGTATCTGGGCTGCGGCACTGTGGGGCGGTTCATGCGAAGCTTGGCAGCAGTCGGGGTGGCGTCCGGAGCCGTGGACAGTGGATTCCTGTGTGCCGGAGCAAGACTTTGCTGGTTTGGAATGGGCACACCTGCCCTGACCTTTCTCACCATCAGCGTCCACCGTCCTGACCACCGATTGCTTTTCTCGCTTCTCCATCCTCCTGCTGGTTTTGTTCCAACAGTGAGGTTTTCGTTCCTGTCGCCACCTGCTTGCCTGTCTTATCAGATAAAAAATATCTTGCTTTAGAGTAGGGTTGACGCTCACACGGGTGGCAGTTGCAATACAGGGAGTGTGGGAAGCCCGTAGAGAGCCAGCATTGGCCAGGGGCTACGCCAAGGGGAGGGATCAAGCCAGAGCATCCACTAAGACACGTCTGTGACTGCTTTACCTGCAGTCAGAGTGGATCCGCACTGGCCCATCCTCTCCCTGCAGCTCTCTGCCCTGCTCTCTTTTTAGGGAGATGGGGTGGGTTTGACTCCTGCAGGTTCTGCCTGCCCCGTTGATGACCCGGCACAGGTGTCCCCCGGCACCTGGACTCTGCACAAACACGGGTGCTGGTGGGCAGGGCCCACTTGGCGGAGGAAGGCATGGGCCTTGGGGCATGGCCCAGCAGGGCTGTTAGTGTTTTGAGCCCATTCCACATGATCCACGGACGTCTGAGCTCGGCGTGCGCTGTTAGAATGTGCTTACGGCGTGAGGGCCCCGAAGGCAGTCGTCAGCCCCCGTGTGTGCAGTGGTGGGACCAGCCCTGGGTCCTAGGCCAGGAACTTCAGGGCTGGGGACCACATGCTGGTAGGAAGCGGAGCTGATGCCGGGAACTTGGAGAACACACTGTGGACGGTCTGGAGTGTTCTGCTTTGTGCTTTTTCCTTTTTCTGGGAGAAATTTCGGTACAGAAGGTGATAAGTGCTGGCCTGGATTAGAAGACAAGTAGGGCCAGTGCTGCAGCTCAACAGGCTAATCCTCCGCCTGCAGCCCCGGCACCCTGGGTTCTAGTCCCGGTCTGGGTGCCGGATTCTGTCCCGGTTGCCCCTCTTCCAGGCCAGCTCTCTGCTGTGGCCCGGGAGTGCAGTGGAGGATGGCCTAAGTCCTTGGGCCCTGGACCCGCATAGGAGTCCAGGAGAGGCACCTGGCTCCTGGCTTCGGATCAGCGCGGTGCGCCGGCCGCAGCGGCGGCCATTGGAGGGTGAACCAATGGCAAAGGAAGACCTTTCTCTCTGTCTCTCTTTCTCACTGTCTGCTCTGCCTGTCAAAAAAAAAAAAAAAAAAAAAAGAAAAAAAAAAGAAAAAAAAAGAAAAAAAAAAGAAGACAAGTAGAAGAGTAGTTGCACAGGTCACAGTTCATAGTGCAGGGACAGGTGGGGGTGACGGGTGCAGCTCTGGCCAGCTGCTGGCCTCCTGCTCAGCCCTGCTTTGTGCTCCTTGGAATGCACCTTAGCCAGCTTGTATTTGGAAGTTGCATTTAAGAAAAATAGTTATTTATTTTGAAAGAGTTACAGAGGGAGAGAGACCGAGAGAGAGCGCTTCTATCCACTGGTCATTCCCCAGATGACCTCGCTGGCCAGGACTGGGTCAGGCCAAAACCAGGAGCTTCATCCGAGTCTCCCACATGGATGGCAGGGATCCACATGCCGGGGCCATCTTCCACTGCTTTCCCAGGCCATTAGCAGGGGGCTGGATGTGAAGTGGAGCAGCGGGACTCAAACTGGTGCTTATATGGGCTGCCGGGTCACAAGGAGCAACCTTATCCACTATGCCTCAATGCTGGGCCTAAGAATTACCTTTTTTTTAAAAAGATTTTATTTATTTATTTGAAAGGTAGAGTTATAGACAGTGAGAGGGAGAGGCAGAGAGAAAGGTCTTCCTTCCATTGGTTCACTCCCCAGATGGCCGCAACAGCTGGAGCTGCGCCGATCCGAAGCCAGGAGCCAGGAGCTTCTTCCTGGTCTCCCATGTGGATGCGGGGACCCTAGGACCTGGGTCATCTTCTACTGCTTTCCCAGGCCACAGCAGAGAGCTGGATTGGGAGAGGAGCAGCCGGGACTAGAACCGGCACCCATATGGGATGCCAGCGCCTCAGGCAGAGGATTAACCCAGTGAGCCACGGTGCTGGCCCCACCAAGAATTATCTTTTAAAACATACGTTATCTGCCTGGATTCAATTGATTTTGATGATAAAGGAAGCAGCTGTGTGTGTTTGTATGTGTGTTTATGTGCGCGTGTGTGTACGTGTGTGTGTGTGTGTGTGTGTGTGTCATTTAACCTGTCGCCTCAGTGGATGGCAGGGATCCGTGGTGGCCACAGTCATTCTCGGATTTTTTTTTCCTTAACCTCAGCCTGCCTCCCTGACATGAAATTATATTAAGATAATAGCTTTGAATTCTTTGGAAAAGAAAAACAATTTAAATGTAAATTGTAAACATAAATATTCAGGCCTTGATTTATGGAAGTGGACAACATTTGATATTCTGTCTTACACAGTTAAGGCCTAGGAAATAGCGAAGTGGGCACCGCCCAGTCTCACAAAATTGTGCGCATTGTGTAGCTGATGGGAGGAATAAAAAAACTGTATCCTGCTGCTCCGAGCCTGGATTTATGGTTGCCACGGTGACTGTATAATTCAGCCTGACAGCTATTTGGGGTGGAGAGGTGTGGCCAGGCAGCCACCATGAGGACAGATGCAGCTGCACTGGGGTGAGCCGCGGAGTGGAGTCCAGAATGTTCCATCGTCAGATCCAACATCTGTCCGTCAGTCTGTCTCTCCTCCTCTCTTGCTACCTCACTCTCCTTTCTCGGGATACAAGTAGAAACATATAATCCTATTAGCCTGTATGTTTTTTTTTTTTTCAAAAAAAAAACCTTGTTAAAAAAATAAACATTAAAATGTTTGGGTGGAATAAGATACTTTATAAAGTAAAAGCATTAATGTGTTTACTATCTCACATCCATTAGGATAGCTATTAAAAACATTGGTAAGGATGTGGAGAAAGTAGAACCCTGTGTCCTGTCAGTGGGAATATAAAATGGGCTGTAGGAAAACAGTGGTGGTGGGGGCAGGCGCCGCGGCTCACTTGGTTAATCATCCGCCTGCGGCGCCGGCACCCCATCCCATATGGGTGCCGGTTCTAGTCCCGGCTGCTCCTCTTCTAGTCCAGCTCTCTGCTGTGGCCCGGGAAGGCAGTGGAGGATGGCCCAAGTGCTTGGGCCCTGCACCCCATGGGAGACCAGGAGAAGCACCTGGCTCATGGCTTCGGATCAGCACGGTGCGCTGGCCGTAGCGGCCATTGTGGGGTGAACCAACAGCAAAAGGAAGACCTTTCTCTCTGTCTCTCCCTCTCACTGTCTGTACCTCTACCTGTCAAATAAATAAATAAAAATCTTAAAAAAAAAAGACAAACAGTGGTGGTTCCTCAGAGGACTTGGATCCGACTCCCCATGCCTGCAGCCAAGCCACTTCTGGGTGTAGACACACAGGAACTGGAAGCCGGGACTGGAAGCCGTATTTGTACTCATGCTCCCAGCAGTGTTAGTTACAGTAGCTGTAAGGGGAACAGCCAAGTCTCCATGGCCAGAAGAATGGCCAAGCACAGCATGGTGTATGCAGAGAATGGAATACTACTCAGCCCTAAAAAGGAAGGCAGTCCTGACACCATGGGTCACACATGGGTGACCCTCGAGGCCACACAGTGCAGTGCAATAAGCCAGTCTCCCCTACATGAGGTACCCCGAGTGGTCAGATGCACACAGAAATGAGTGTGGTGCTTGCCAGGGGCTGGTGGGGGGCAGGGGGAGAAGCCGGAAGTTACTTCTGGTTGGCATGGGGTTTCAGGTTGAGACAATGAGAGATTTCTGGAGGTGATGGTTGTACAACACTGTGAATGTAATTAATCCTGCTGACTGCACACTTAAAAATGGCCAAGATGCGAACTTTTACATAGACATTACCACAATAAAAAAAAAACTGAAAAATTAGAGCTCTAATTTTGGTTGTTAGAGAAAAAAAGCTAAGTTCTGACAACTTAGCGCTTTTTTAAAAAAAGATTTTATATATTTATTTGAGAGGTAGAGTTACAAAGAGAGGGAGAGACAGAGAGAGGTCTTCCATCCACTGGTTCACTCCCTAGATGCGGCCGGAGCTGCACTGATCCAAAGCCAGGAGCCAGGAGCTTCTTCCGGGTCTCCCAGGCATGTGCAAGGGCCCAAGGACTTGGGCCATCTTCTACTGCCTTCCCAGGCCATAGCAGAGAGCCACAGCGCGGCCCCCTGACAGTATGTCTTAAGATTGGGTGATTACAACATCCTGCAGCAGGTTGCAGGAGAGAGAGCTTAGATGTGGTCTCATAGCTGTCCTACATAATGGAGAAGTGGGTTTCAAAACAGTTTCTTAAATGGATTTGCTTCCATGGTCAGTAAGTAAATGGGACACACCTACAGCAGATGGTGTGTTCTAAAAATAACTTCTAAAGGTTTAATAATCTGCTGTTCCATGTGTAAGGAGACCGGGGAAAGCAAAGGCAAGAAGAAGGTCACTCCTGTGTCAGGAAGCGAGACGTCAGCGTTCACACGCGGCTGGGGGTGGGGGGGGGCGAGCAGTGCAACCAATCTGGAAGTCAGTTTCCCAACATATTCAGGTGCCTCAGAAACACCAGAGTCCAGGACCCAGAAATGTCATTTGTAAGAATATATTTTTGGGCCAGCACTGTGGTATAATAGGCTAACCCTCTG